GTCATTGATCTAAGTGCGTCCCATTTAGATTCTGGGCAATACTTGGCTATGTGACCCACAGACCTATGTCAGAAATCCTTGTAGCAGCAAAATCCATAAGCTGTGATTGCTCAAGGTGTCACTGGAAGACATTCAGGTCACAGGTTGAGGTTGCTCAGACTGACAGAAAAGCTCATTAGGTACTAGCTGCTCAAGCCCTGGTGGGTTGTATTCAAAGATGTACATCCATCTTTTCTTTAGGGGACCTGTTGTACAGACCAGGCTTGTCTGAGCCCATAAACAGGACTGTAGCGGTCCAGGCCTGCAACATAACAGAAATAATGGTCCCTGAGGCTGCTTGAATTTGCTCTGCTACCAAATTGTTACCTAATTGAAAGAATGTCTCTTTCAGTTTTCCTTGTTGGCATTGGAGTTTCAGCGCATGGTTGCAGTGCAGTGCAAGGTAAGCAGAGCTGCTTCCCACAGCCGGTTCCAGGGTGCTGAGAAGGGAATAGTGCAAGCTCTCCAGTGGCTGAGGCACCCCTGCTCTCTATTTGCATATAGGTAACTTGTAAAACTCCCCCTGTGTTCTTGAGATAAAATTCTCAGAAACACCCAAATCTTTGACAGGAATTTGAGCATAAGAGTCATTAGGAGTCAGTGAGACTTGGGGGACCTTTAAGGTTATTACCTGCCTCTTTCTATGTTTTGCTGGCTGAGAGCTCTTCTCATTTATGCATTTTCTTCTGAACACATTGCTTGTGATCATCATCAATTGTTCTTTTCTAATTCTCTCTCCAAATACAAGAGAAAAGGGGAAGTTTCTATTTATCTGATGTGTGTCACTCGTTTTATGCATCTCTGTTACCTTTGTACTGAAGAGGAGGCCCCGTGAGCACCAAAACCAACCAGACTTCTTATCAAGCTGTTTGATGCCTCCTATTCCTTCTTCCAGCTTTCGCCCTCTGCTTCCCCGTGCTTTCAGATCCATATCACACTAGCCACTTGTGCTGTGGAGAGACCTATATGGTAGCACTGACCTCCTAGAAAGGGGTTAAGGGACTGAGTTTTGCCTGCTTCTTCCTTAGCAGGAGGGTGACTTTGCCCTGTTTCCTGTCCAGGGTTGAATAACAGTTCAAGAACTGCATCTTCAAAGACACTCCTGCTTTGTGACATCTGGTTGAAGTTGCTTGTACAGCTCGAGAGGAGAATAAGTGGCAGATGGGCAGGATGGTGGCATAAATCCTGTTTCCTTGGGAAACCAAACTGAAAGTTGCTGCTTTTATATAAACTTCTTGTATGGATTGGTGGGCTAAATGGATCTCTTCAGTCACTGGTTCCTAAATAGATGCTGGCTCTAGCTTTCTCTCCTGCCTGAGCTACAATGAACAGTCCTGAACATCATGTGTAAGATGGGGGTACACAGCGAGTGCCTGTTGTGGTGGTGTGTATCACCTGCAAGGTTGCTTTCTAGCCTTGCCTTTTCCATGCTTTTTAACTTTTGTCATGCAATGCTAGGTATTTTTCCTGGCCTCTGGGGGTCCAGAAAAGCACATCAGGGAGCTAAATGATCAATTCCAGTGTACATGCCTTGGCATTTGTCACCCATGATTTTTCTCTGTTGCGAGGCTGTGCTGTCACCTAGGTTAAGTCCTTTTGGCTTCTCTAAGGTAAGTAAACTGAACTTCTGTGTCTCACGTGGCATAACCAGCAATCCTTGCTCTTTTACTCAGCCAACATGGCTACTATAAGCTAATGATAGTAAAGATTTACTCAAGTTGTAAGTGCACACTAATTATCTGACTGCTGCACATTCACGGATGAAAGCTCTATCTGTGCTAAGCAGACATACAGAAAAACATGTTTTTCAGCTGCTGCAATCCCTGTGTGCAGCAATTTTTGCTAAGTACAATACACCATGTTCCTTCACCTTTTCCTAGCAAGAGTAGGAGCCTAGATGAGCTATTAGATGCTTCCCATTAAAAAATCCCTACTTACCGTTGCATATAGCTTTGGCAGTCTCTAAGAGTTTGGGCTGATGCTTCTCTCTTCCTATCCTATTCACTGGTTTAAGCTGAATGTCTTTGGAAAATTTCAGGTGTTTCCAAATAACTGTATATAAGGCAATACATTTTATAGCAATTTAAAAGGAGTTCATCCTGTCCTATTCTTTGCTTTTTTTTTTCCCCCCCTTCATGTGAAGGAATTGATTTCCAGTCCTGGAGGAGATTCTGATGGAGCTGTTCACTGCTGTATCAAAGTTTGCTTTCATTTCATGCACCAAATCTGTGCAGACGCCTGAATTAAATTTTTGTTGTGTGCCACTGTCAGAAAATGCCAGGTTGTTTAAGGAGGATTTGTGACTGCAGAATCCCAGCACTGGTGGGAATTACTGGCACAACTCTTTCTTTGATCTAAGTTGTTTCTTGGTGGTGTAGGAAGGAATAAGCCCACTGCCATTGGGGTCACCTCTCACATCTGTATTGAGCAGGGCAGACAGACTAGTTTGGAAGTTATGAGTGCTGCAATTTGTGAAGTGTGTGATGCAGGAGGCTGTCATCTTCTCATGACCTTATGATTCAGCATCTTACTGGATATGAGGTCAGTTAGTTTGACATCACCACGCTTTGCTGCATGACACTGGATTGCTCCAGACTCACAGGATCCAGAGAAACATGCAGCCACATGAAGCCTCCAGCACTTAGAAATAAACCTGTTAAATGTAAGTGTAAATTCCCCCTACTTCCCCTTGCTTTCCACCTTATCTAATGATTTAGAATAAAGAACAGAGCAACATCGCATCTGCTACCTCTGAAATTCTTCAGTGGCATGTCACAAGCCCTTCTGGGGTGATTGCTGCTCCAGTGCCTTGAGTGATAGCAAAGCTGTAGTCTCTGCCAACCCCTGTGAAACAGCATCTTTGAATGGGCCAGCCTGTAGCTTTCACTGTTGGCATATGATTATGTTAGTGCTGGTTTTGTTTGAGTGAATGCCTGTTGCAGTTTTGCAACTTTCAAATATCATTCTTGCTTTAAAGACATGCCATGGAATGATGTAGAATAAGTGGACTGTTTCCACTACATCATGTCCCTTGGCCTGTTCTGGAGCTACCAAGGTCTAAGGTACCAGGCAGCAGAATGCTGTTCTGGGGTTACTGGCAGGGATGAGCTTTGAGAGTGAACTCCCTGCTGCATTAAGCTGACAATGCAGGTGTGCCCAGGATGACTTTGTTTTTCATTACCATCAGCTGGCACAGTTGCATAGCTTTGCTATTTTCCCATACAACTGGTTTGAAACCATTCCAGATCTATTTTGTTCAGCCCACTGGTTGCGGTACTTGCTCTGCCTTCAGTGTATTACTGTTTGCTTTTCAAAGCTGATCCTAGTCGTGGTCCACTATGAGGCCGGTGAAGTGAATCCTTGCAAAGAGATAAGGGGGGAAAGATCCCACTATAAAGGCTTGACGTTTCCAGAGTTATGTATGTGATTATTTATTGCTTTTAAAAGTTATTTGCTTGGAGTGTGTTTGTAGAGATCACAGTCTGAACTGCTGATCTATATGGAGGGAGAATGAGCTGCTGCTTTTGAACCCAACTGTGTCATGGCTGGCCATAACCGAAGCAGGGATGAGAGGAAGCCAGATCGTGATTGCAGAAGGGGTTGGATTGTGCTATGGGATTCTGTGCCCCCTTCCTGGGGGAGCTGCTGGCCTCCTTTGTCCCTCTGGCAAAGGAAAGGGTGCCTGCTTAAATGACTTTACTAATAGAAGTTTGGCAAATAGACTGTTCTGGATTAAAAAGAAGAACCTTAAATAGAAGTATTATCTGTGTTTGATGCTGTTTAATAGATGTTTTTTCCTGCTAAGTGTAAATCTTCATGGGTCCTGGTAGCACTTCAGCAGCATTTGCAAGCTAATGAGCTGCTAATTATCAGCCCTGCCCAGGCTAATTAGTTCTGTTAAGAGTGGATGAATCTAGGCAGAACTCTGAGCTAATACAGTTTTGCTGCTTCTAGGACTTGAGCTGATGTGTTCAAAACTGGGATGTAGATCACTGATTTTGGACTGTTCTGCATGTGCATGCTCTAGGTACTGTGATTTCTTCTAGCAGCCATTGGAGTTGTTCTCCCACTAGCATGTACGCCCAGTCTCCAGGTGCCAAGAACTTGCACGTATTTGACTGATTTCCTCAGTTTAACCATACCTACTGTGCACTTCCCTTGAGTGTGGCAGCATTGCATCTGGAGCTTCAGCAGGGAGAGGTTAGAAGGCAGCAGGCATGTTGTGTAGGAAAAGTAGCTGTTGTAAAACTCATGTTGGTCTCCTAAAACTGGGAGTGCAAACAATCTGGGAGAAAAAGGCAAACTATTTGAGGCTGGTTGGCCTATTTTACTAACCCTTCATTTCTGAACTTAAAGCCCCAAGGGAACCTGTTCTAAGCATTCCCGAGGTGGCTGCATTTGTGATGCTAGTTAGTATTGGCTCTCAGTGCAGCTTTCTAAAGCTTGGTTAATAAATGGCATCACTTTGGTTCCCTTGTATCTGGTGCCTCATCCTGCTGTCTGCAGGTTCCAGTTTGAGAAGTGGTAATACACAGAGTTCACACACGGTGAACAGCAGAAACCCTAGAGGGATTGTTCATACACAATAATGGTGACAAATGAAGCAGGAAGTAAAATCGAGGGGACTGTGACTGAAAGGAGTGATGTGATTAAACATACTCATCTGGGAAAAGGCCCTTACTGATGTGATGTTTCGCTTTGCTTTACAGGTACTCTCAGTCACTGAAGCTTATTTCATAGAGGGACAGTAGCCCTCTTGTTTCAAGTCTTCCATCTGAAGGCAGGTTGATTTGGTTCCTTTCTGCCACTGAAGATTGTAACTGGTGAATGTATGTGCCCCACCACCTCTAAGTTAATGGTGTGCCAAGGACAGGTGTGAAGCAGCTCTTTCTCTGGATATTGATGTGTTTGTTATCTTCTTACTGCACCGTGATACCTCGTGCCCACTGGCAGCAGAGGATATGGAGGCTCTTGAAGTTGATGACATTAGCCCTGCCTTGGAAGTGACTGAAGACTTCTTCAATAGTTTTGATACGAAGCTTGAAAAGATTGTGCAGCCCTCTGAGGTGTACGGTGTGCATGAGGTCCCCGAACTGGTTGGGCACGAGGTATTTGACCAGATAACAGAAAGCAGGAACCTGAGGAACGTCGCCTCCTTAGCCAAAAGTAGCCTCATCTGGGATCACTGCAAAAATGGCCTCTTGGAAACCAAAGCTCAGACAGCATTCCCTGCCAAAGACCAGTGCGTGGTGCAGAAGGGAACAGCTGCTGACAGCCTTGCTTGGGCAGGGGAAGGGGAGACCGCAGCTTTTAACATCTTCCATATCTGCCAGCGGAGGAGAGACAGGCCTCGCTCGGTGAATGACATCCTGGTGCAGAATGAGGAAGCCTCCACATTCAAACCAGGACACAACAGGTCACGCTCTGATATCAGCCATGTAAACTGGGGGGTGGTCTTCACGGGGACCTCCCTGCAGCAGGCACCTGCAACCGGTCAGGACAATAGCTGCGCTCTGCTCTCTTACCTGGCATTAACCAAGGGGGAGGACATCCAAGGAAACACAGGTTTGTGCTGGTGCTTTATTGTTTCTGTTGATACAAGGACTTTCCTATTTGTTTCTAATATTTATCTTGAAAGAAGAGCTGGGTGCTTAAAAAAAAACTGGACAACCCCCCAAAGAAGCCAGCTGTGAGGTAGCTCTTAAAAGGATAGCAGTCAGCGCAGCTCTGTTGTCCTTCATGTAGCTCTGTTTGCCTGCTTAAGGATTGGTTTTTAAACCAATCTTGACTTCTGTTCCATGGTTAGCTTAAAAACTAAGCTTGTTTTACTTTTTGCTTCTATTTTGGTTTGATTCAGGAAAAAAAAAAAAAAGAAGTTAGTTGTTTCTGACCTTTTCCTTACCTGATGTTCCCAAACTGGGAAAAAAAACTATGAATGCTAAAGCTAGTGGGAGAATGGCAAATCCAGTCAACGGCAGTTTTCATGGAAGTTGAAGAGTGGCCATTAAATAGAGGGCATACAAAGCTTTACTGTGAGGCCTGAGACCTCTGCTCTGTTTCTTTAAGAAATGCTGGCTGTTCAGTCCATAAACAATTAACAAAAACTCAAGCATGCAATTTGTACTTGTCAATATTAAGGCATCTCTGCCAGCTTTGTATGGGCTACAGGAAGTCTTGTTATCAGATGGAGGCAGGCGTCTCCAGTGAGCCGTATGAAGCGGTGTTTCAGCAACTTCTTCCTTTTCCTTTCCTAAGAGCGGCACTGGAAAAGGTTGTGCTCAGGGCTTTGGAAACACTGACCCAGTGTCTCCATCTCTGTGATTTATTTTGTAGATGCCAGAAGGTGGACTGGGCACTTAGGAAAAGAAAAGCAGCCAGTGCCACAAAGATTTTGTTATAATCTAAATAAAGGCAGGACTTAACAAAGGAATTGAAAAATCAAAGGGTTGTGAAAGCAAGAATGTGTGTGTGTGTGTGTGTATGGTGGAATGACTCCAGTTATGAATAGGTAGCCTGTTTAGGGTTAAAACATGCCTTTTGAATTAGGTTTTCCAGATAAATCAGCTGGTTTAGAGCATGAAAAGCAGGTGCCTAAATGTTTGTGTTTGAAGACCTGTGCATATGGAGGTATGTGTATGAATGTGTATATACCTACACAAACCTGTAAGTTACTGCGTTATATTGTGACATAGTTGCACCTAAAGAAGGGTGCTCTTGACTGACAAAGGCAAGTATACCTGCTGCTACTTTTGCTCAGATATATTGCTTTCTGTAGAGTGGGGTCTCTGTTCTTTGCCCTTCCCATGGAAGGGATGCAGAGCAGAAACACACCCAGAAGCCTTGTGACAGAGCTCTCAAGTTCTTGTCAGCTGTATCCTGGGCATCTCATGGATTTAACTTAACATGTAACACCTTTATATGTCCACAGAAGCGTCATTAAAATCTAGCCATTAAAGATCAATACATGTACCCAATAGTTTTTTAAGCTTAATCTTTATGGCCCAATTTCCCCACACAGCCCTTGGAAAAAGAAGGGGGTTCTGTTACTTATACTGTTTACAATAAGAAATGCCTAAGCCATTCTGTATTTAAAGACCTGTTCATGTACCCCCTTGATGTGAGTCACTTCAAATTGCCACTGGATCCCCAACCTGCAAGAAGCAAGTCACCAGCCCAGCTGGTGCTGAGCAGCAGAGTCCAGTGCCAAGCTGGTCTCCCTTCTGTCAGTCCAGTGCTCAGGCAACTTCACCTCTGCCTGGGGTAAAGCAAATTACATTCCCCTCTCCCTTATACGCAGGTGTAAGACAGTGTGATGCAACTGTTCATAAAAGGAAGCAAAATGAAATAGGGAAACAATGTTGTAGGTTTTTCTTCCCCTTCGGCAAACAAATTTTATTAGGAACTGCAGTGCTGGGATGCCACTGCTAACGAAGTCAGGGACCATACACTGCAGTCTCCCCCATCCTGGGTGACAGTGTTCATGCTTTCAGAAGCTGGGCTGTCTGTGGTCGTGTCTTCCTTCGACCTGGGCTCCCACTTCAGCTGGACCAGTCCACTTTGCTTAGAGACAACAGCAATAAATTAATCCCTTAAGTTTAGTTGTGTCCAGGCAGTGCCCAATCACAGTGTGTACCCAAGGCGTGTGCTTTGGTAGTAGCAGCAGAGTTCAGTTGTACTCTTCCCAGCCCCTCAACAGGCACTTACACCATTTAAATGCAGTTAATGCAGTGAAGTTTTTCTTCATATAAAAAAGTGAGCAGACTGTCTTAGAGTGTGATATGCTCTTTAGCATTATGATTTCATGTTAAACAGTTTGTAGTTGCAAGTTGTAACTGTGAAGACCTCACATCTCTGAAGTAGTTTTGTGAAGGGTAGTGATATCAGCACTCTTAATAAAAACAGAAATTGAAAGATAGAAATAGAAAGGCTTTCTATAGAGTACGGTCAAGTTCTGTGATCTGAGGTGAACTGAACAAGGGGAAAAATGGATTAGTAAGAGTGGCTGAAAAACCTCCCCCAGTACTCACCCCATAATCCATCAGCAGTCAGTACCTCTGAGGTGCTCAGCCACACTTTTGCTATTACCTTTTGTAAAGTTACAAGGCATTTGTCAGTGCTTGCTGCATGGGATGTTTGAGGGCAGGGGTGCTGTCTTTGAGGAAGGAGAACTTCTGTGCTGCAGAAATGCACTGTTTTAGCCTGTTTTCTTAAGCTGTTCTGTTCAGCTGCTGTGCAGGTTTTAAAAGGTGGCTATGATATTTCTTCCCACTCTGTTTACAAAAGAGGCTACTATAAAGTTTGCTGCTACTGTGAGCTGAGCTGAGAAGAGAAAAGGAAAAGCAAGAAAGTAGGCATTTCAAATATGTGTATTGGGACTAGTAATTATTCTCCACAAAAGACCGAAAAATGTATTTTAAGGTTTGCTAAAAGCTGCTGCAGTGGTTGAAGGGGTCACAGTGGCCACAGGCTGTGGAAACATCCCTTTCCAGGGCTTTAATACAGATTTAATGGATGCATATCGGATACTGAGCACAACTTCAGCCACTCCTGCGATTCCTCATTGCAGTAAAGGACTTCCCTTCGGAGCCTGCAGAGGTCTCCCAGTCCTCCAAGGCTGGACGAGCTGGTGCATAGATTAACTCTTCACACTTCTTTTTCGCTTATCTTCATGGTATATTTATTACCATGAGCTTATCTGTTCCTGCTGCTTGCTTTTTTATAATACAAATAAAATGAAACTGGATCTTTTCCATGTGCTGTGAAAGAAAAGGATCTGAAAAGAAGCTGTGCCTTTTGGGCAGTATCTGCTTAGGCCTGCTGGCAGAACAGCTAATGTGTGCTAGAAATGAGCACTGTTTGGGCTGCAGAGCAGTGTCAAGCAGGAAGTGGACCTAGCAAAGACGGAAGTTGTAAGCAAATTCAGGGCAGGCTTTTGTACTTCTGGGCATGTGGCCTTGCAAACAAAGGGAGAATGCTGCTTCTGTAGTATCCAGCAAAAGCTTGCTTAGATCGTTAAAACACAATGTATGAGCAGTTGTCTTTGATAGTCATGTGGATGTTTTCATTCAAACACAGCCACTCCTGAGAGTGTGGGTGCTATAATACTTTTCCTGGATGGCTGTTCTGTTTGCCTGCCAGGCCTGTGTCGGGAACTGTCATTTGTTCTGAGCACCTGCCCAGTGATACGCTGTCCTTGCTGCAGAAGGCTGGCACCTTGTGCTCCTCTCTGACGGCAGCTATGGAGGTACTTCATTAGTCCCATTGATTTTGGCAGTATGTTCTGTCCGGGAGCTAAGCCTGCAAGGTTTTGCAGCACTGTGGCATGGCAAAACAGACATATCACAGAAAGGTGACTGTCTTAAAACTGGCCAACAGGCCCAAATTCTGCTGTGCCTGATTGAGGCCAGGTTTTTGCCATTTTCCTTTGACAGACTGGTTTAACAAAATGTCTTTCCCCCTCCTTTCTTCACATCCCTTTTTTTTTGTCTGTCTGGGACCCTAGACATCATCTGGGACGCTTTCAAGCTATGACCTTATACTCAGAGTTTGTGCAGGGGATGTTTCAAGAAGGGCTTGGACTCATCTTTGCATAGCTCTTGTACATACTACATGCTTTTCTTCTGTGTTTTTGTAGAGGTAAGACATCTAAATCTGTATTCCATGAACAACACACAACTGATTCACAGGCTGGGGACTGGGGGTGATCACTGAGTTCTAAGGAATCATTTTACAGTGCTTTCTTTTCCTCTGATGTCCACACAGGCTTTATGTCAGGGTGTTTTCTTTGTTTGCCAGCTACCCTCACCTTTGGATGCAACAGTGGTGGCTGGTACCTGCTCTGTGCCTGTGACATTGGCTCATGCAGCACTTAGCGGTACATATCAGAGTGGTGGGTCACAGAGCAGCACCCAGTAGAGCCATCAATTGCTGCTACTGTTGTCCTGCTCAGGGAGGAACTGCAGAGACAGCTAGCAGGAAAGGGGAGGTGTGGCAGGTATGGGCGCTGCTGCAGAGCAGGAGGCAGCCGGAGATCCTGAGAGGTATGAAGTTTAGAAGTATGACATGCAGCCTTCACACTTCCCCTCCACGATAGCCAGGTAAAGCCTAGCTTCTGACCCATGTGCCAGGGAGGTTTCTGAAGCCTAATTGCCATTTGTGATTTTGCAAAACACCCCTGCAGCACTGTCTTTTATCTGTGGCGTGTAAGAAGCTACACAGACAGGGCAAACCAAGGCCATCAATTGCCACTGCGATGGCAGAACATTATAGGTTTGTGGCATTGTGCAGAAGATAATGGTGCTGAGAGGCAGATGTGCAGAAACAACTCTTCTGCACCTTCCCCTGTGGAGAGCAGGAAGCCTCAAATCACTTGGAAATAATCCCAGAGGTATCAAGCCAGTTGGAGAACTGATGTCCCCTGTTCCAGCCCCACCCTGTGGCCAGTTTATTTTCAGCATTAAAAAGTAGTCAAGGAAAAGGTAACTGTACTGCAGAGATTTGGTGTCTTTCAAGATTTAAGGAGGCATAAATGTTATTTAAAATAAAATGTGAGTTGGATGCCCTTC